ATTTTAGCGAAACCGTTCTTTTCTTTTGTAAGTACAATTAAATTATGAAATTAAAAAATATCTATTTATATTATCTATTTATATGTAAAAGGCAGAAGTCATAATTAGAACCGAGACGGCAAGAATTAATAATTCATTAGCTTAACGTGAATCATAGAAAATCATTAGAGCGGGAATAAAATAATACGCTTTCATCGTCTTATTGAAAACCTTATCTGAATATCAATATTATCTATGAAGTATGAATATTTTACGTTAATTAGCTTCCTATTTCGTCGTCGACTATTTTACTTCGCGATTCCCTGGTCGTCTCTTTTAAACAATAGTGCGCGAACTGTACGTGGCCTCAATGCTCCATCGGGACTATCTCGATATTGCGACGTATACGCGACTCGCGTTTGTTTTTTCTCCGATTTCGAAATCACAGATTGCGTAGAGATGATAAATTTTCGTTATAAAAAAATAATACAAATCTGCGTAATACTTTTTTATTTGTACCACGAATATTGAATATTGGAGAAATATTTGCATATCTCTTTAACATCACATTTAGCATATAAAACTATACACACTATAAGAGCACTTTTCTTTTTTATTACGTAATATTCTATATTTGCTATTACACATACATAGTTATATCATAAATATATATTGCTAAATTTTAAAGGAGAGATCTCTTAATACGCTTATTATAATAAAACGACGAAGAGATGGCTGCTTGCCCAATAGGATTCAATTTGATTTTCAATTCTATTTACGTTACGCAAAAGCGGCGGAATGTTATAAATATCGGTTAAGTCATCCGAGATATATCGCGGGCCGTGAATCTTACAAAGTCCTGTCTGTCCTGCACGACACGCGTGCGTCCTGTCGCCGTTCTCACGCCGCAGAAACGAATCCGATCGAGTCGCGAGCGAGTCGTGACCGCCGATCCCAAGTCGTCCCAATTTGGAAAAGCGGAGCTGTCAGAATAAACGCGCTTCTCGAGGTGTACTAATGGGATGATCAGCTGAGAATCGTTTATTTCAGCATTCGTTTGTCGATGGGTGGCTCGGCTGTAAAATAAAAGTCGTAGCCGTGCGAAAGTCGATGGTGATGGAAAAACGATGACGCGAGTTCCTCTCACGCGGTTAACAACGGATACAACGTGATTGGTATGTCCTCTCTCTCTCTCTCTCTCTCTCTCTCTCTCTCTCTCTGTACGAACTTGTCCGCGTAAATGTTGTCCCGCTGGGTCAACAGCTGGACGGGGGCTAATCGATATCTATTCTGATCCTGAACGAAAAGACACGTGAGCCAGGTATTTAGCGGCACGCGATTCCGATCCGACAAAAAAAATGAAGAGAGATAAAAATGAAAAATATAATACGAAACGAGATACAGAAAAATTGTATACTTTTCAACAAGTCATACACTGTCAAATTATATTTAATTTGAGTTATTTTTAACCATTTCTATAGGTCGCCACTACGATCACTCAGACAGACTTAATTTACTTAAAACAATAGAGCTGAATAATTTAACTCATGGAATGTATTGAATTTGACTCAAATTATTTACTAAGTGTATACTATTTAATATGGACGCTGTTTACTTTGAAATTGAGCAATTCAACCACAAAATGGATTAATTTATATTGACACAAAGAAATTAAAAATAACAAAATGTTATCTAACTTAATGTTATTATATCTAACTTAAAAAATTATTACCATTACTCCTTTGATATTTAACAGTATATTACACGCCGAGGCGAAGGGGAGAACAATTTCATTCAGCTTCGAAGCCATCGTTCTGTTAATTCTGTTCTCGTTAATTGCTAGATTCTAGGAACCTGATCAATTTCCTTGATCATTTGTTAATTCTGTTACCAATTATCATTTCATCTTAAAGTTACAGCATAATCTAATTATCATTAATTTGGAAAAAGAATGAATAAATTTCTCAGGACATAATAGGTATTTTATATTGCGCGCACGATTATTCTTCATAAAACAATACAATCTTTAAAGAAGAGCCTAAAAGAGAATATCTGTCTCTTCGTTCATTAATTCATTCATCAATTTTCCTGTCGCTCGTAATCACGCGACGTATCTGGCGATGCCATCAAATGAATTGAACGAATGACACGACGTTCCAGCCTGATGTCAGAAACAGTCTTAATTTAACGTTCGATCGTTCGCAGGCAATGACGCCTGCCACGTAATGCGAAGGGCGTCATAAACTAAGGGTAGAATATCAATCCTCTGCGAATTTTCATATTCATCAGTTTCAATTGCTTGTGAACTTATTTTTGTTACAGCGTTAAACAATCTCGTGAAATTCTACAATCATTATGAAAATATTTTCTATGTAATTCATTTTACGTAATAAATATTATCATACACATTTATAACATTTCGCAAAGCGAAACATTGTAAGAGTTGTAGTAAAACTTGTTGCACGATAATTTCATGATTTACAAAACGATGAAAAATAACTTTGTGCTTAGCTGTCTCTTAATTATTTCTAAAGTTGTTTTCCGAGATTTTACAGTTGATAGAATATAGAGAAGTCTGCTTTAGCTTGAGAGATGGCAGAGGTATAATAATAGATGATGTTACTTGTTGTTCATCGTCAAACTTCTAGAAACTCCTAGAAACTCCTCAGCTTTACAGTTTCAACATCGGAAACTTCAGTGGACGTTCACAGAGCAACACTCAGAGAGGAAATTCGTTCATGTCTTCTTAAGAATTATTAAAAAGATTTGTCTTGCTCATTATAATCAATGAATTTATTACTTGCAATTGCAATTTATGAAATCACTAAACTCTCATGAATAATTATATTATTAATAACAACACATAAAAAAATTAAAAAATAAAGTAAAAAAAAATTAAAATATTAAAGAGTAAAATTAAAAATTGAAGAAATTTTCTGCACTTTATCAAGCATTTTTTGTATACGTATTCATCAAGTATACCAATGCAACAACCCTTAACATTTAATCAAAGCTTTTTGATAAATTTTCAATTAATCCACCTACAATAAATTTTAAATAATCCAAATTTTTAATAAAACTCGAATTAATTCACCTACAACAAATTTTAAATTAATTCTAAAAACAATTTATTCCAACGTTGGAGTATTCCATTCTGGAAGACTTGGATAAAAAAAGAGAAAAAAATATAAATGGAACTAGAAAATATTGTACTCTCATAAAAGTAATCAGAGCAATTCAGTATTATATGTAAGCGATAGTAAAGAATATTGAGTTTTCGATAGCGTATCAAATAACACGTGCTCGTTTTTGCTCGCAACCGATATAAAAATACCTCTGACCTTATCAGCGATGATTAAAATTGATCGGTTTACGCAGGAGTGGAGCGACTACGGCAGCAGGAACCTGTTACGCAGCTTCAGTCACCCGACTTTTGACCTCTTGCATTCCCCTTCGAACATTAATGATTCTCAACTCGCTCGTGCGTAGCTACCTGGCTGCCATTGACTTCGTGTCCTTTCAATGTTTCTCGCCGACAGGAAAAACAACAGTAATCTCCAATATGGTTAGCATTAACTTTGTTTTTCAACATTCTCCTATAATATAAAAATGGGAGAAAAATTGTCAGTTTAATTTAATTTTACGATGATCCTAATATCGTTCGTCGATAAGGACAAAAAAAAAGAATTTCAATTACATAGGTACATAAAAACTTTAATGTTTAATCTGGAGATTAGATTATAGTATTCTTACGTATTTCAACGATGTGAGATCGAATTCGATGTCCAAATTGTTTCATCACGTCATCAGTTTTTTTATCAATGGAAAACAACTTGATATTCCCGTATTTTTAAAGTGTGTTACACACACACACACACACACACACACACACACACACACACACATACATTTATGGTCTGGTTTTTAATATGCAAACTGTAGAAATGAGAAAGTAAAATGCTTCAATATGCAAACTTCTAAAGTTAATATGCAAGCTGGTAGTTTAAAAATATTTAATATTCGAGCTGTTTTTCGTTTAATAAAAATTGTATATAATGAAGCAATTTGGACATCGAATTCGGTTTTTAGCATCAAAATATATAAAAATATCATGGTCTAATTTCTAAATCAAAAAAATTATTTGTATGCCCGTGTTATTATTTCGACGGTGTTTACCATCACCAGTTTTACATTGATTCAAATGAAAGGAAAAGAGCAGCGTCTCGTGAGATTTTAATGCTGCATTTAATATCAAGTATAGGTTTAATGATACCGTAAGTTACTATAATTGCTATTAATTTATTACACAATGAAAAAAATTTGAGAGGAAATTTATTTCATAAGTTACAGTTTCGCTTATAAAGTTTCGTTTATAAAGAATAAACGAATGCGAACAAAGTCTAACGTGATTTGATCGATTTTGCGATCCAATAATCAGCGACGAACGAATGTCGACTGATGCGTAACGCAGCGTAACAGCATCGAAACTCCGCCCGCGGCCATTATCTTAGTTGATACTCCGGCGTGACATTCACTATGATGCCGAAACGCGCTGGAGCGCATCAAATGCCAGCAAACGATCGTAATTTCTCTGAGCCTGGCGATGAACGAAGACGAAAGGAAGAAGAGCACGGGTGGCGATGTCTCCTGGAAAACTGAGCGCCACACTCACGATCGAGTGTGGCACTCGAAGCAGGGTCTCGCAATTTCACCTTTACCCTTACCCTTACTGCGACCAGGTGATGGCAACGGGAAGACACGCGAGAGGGTTGACGATCCGCCGATTGAAGAGCCACTGGCTGGGGGGAGTGGGCTCGTTCGAGAACCCCTTCATTGCGGGGTGGCTGGTAGGCTAGCAGGCAGGCAGGCAGCCCACAGTTACCTCGCACACAGGTGAGGCCGGTATCGACCTGACGCTAGAAATACCGCGCAGCATCGACCGTCGTCGTTATACCTGGTCTCGCTCTCCCCCGTCCGCACTCTCTTCCGTGTCGCTCTTCTCCGCCGTCCACCCCCGGAGGATGCGACGGAGGGTGCCATGTAGTCGATGGTGGAGGGTTTGGGGGCTGACGCACGGCCTCACCACCGCCAATCCCTGGGTCCTGGTGGTCGCGGCTGCGCCCTGCCGCGCCTTCCGCGGCGAAACCGCCACCGTCGCCGTCGTCACGACGGTGAGAGAGGGCGCCGCGGCGATCCGGTGGCGGGGAGGACTCCGAGGGCAGACGTTCCAAAGCCACCCCGACGGAGAGACACGCCGAGACGCCCCTGCCATTGGGAGCCCTTCGGTCTTAGTAAGTATTCCGGCCGATTTCGTTTCCTGCTCCAGTCTGTGTTCCTCGTGCTGTCCTTCTTCGCTAGCACATCTCTTCCTTGTCTTTCTCATAAAGAGATGTGCGTGTGTGTTCCCGCGGTGAAATTTCTCCCTGGGTGCTTCGATGCGCGACTCGCTGGAATCATTTGACAGGAATCGGTAGCTTCCGGCACGATTCAGACATGACTCCTATGTATTTATCAATGCTTTTTCCTCCTTTTCCTCCTCTTTGATATTTGTTGATCCTTTCAAGAATTATTCTCGTCTCCTGAAACTTCGTCGATCAGTTCGGGAAGATTTATGTTAAAACAACGATAATTTTTAAACGATTTTCCGATTTTCTCAATTATTTCTTATTAATATTCAATTTTGTAAATTTAGTTTATTCAGTATTAAAATTCTATTTTCATAAAGCAATAATATTTTATGTTTTTTCTGTAACTTCTTTACAATGCACAATATTCTTTCACGATTTATTTTTACGTTTCTTTCTGACTTGCTTAAATGTCACTTGAAACAGTGGTTAGAGTCTATATATATA